TTGGGTTCCTCGTTGTCAGGAGTTTGGAAGGCTCTATAGACGGCTAGTTTGACCGCGCGGCGGGTTTTCTGAATCACTATGATATCGGGGGGAGTTTGGAAAGACTGGAGGCAGTGTTAAAGATAGCCACGCTTCAGTCGCAAGCTGTGGTAATTCCATTGCCAGATAGTGGTTTGGTGCCTACTGAGGCGTGGCGGGCGTGGGAGAGGTAAAGCCATATTGAGGGATGCACTGTTAGAGGTAGGGTATGGATGGTGGGGGTGGTGGAGGAGTTTAGGACCCCAACTGGGATGAGATGTTGGTGAGTTGGTTTATTTGACTGGTGAGTTGGGCCAATCTGGAGGAGTACTTTGAGACAGCGTTTTCTATCGCCGTACAACGGCTGTAACGTTTTGCTCTAAGGTTTGCAGTCTGGCACTGAAAATGCGAGACATTTCGGTCATTGACGCTGAGTCGGTGTAATTTGTCTACGATTTTGAGGCCATAGTATTGATTACTCTACGCTTGACAAACTGGGCGGTGCTGTCAGGTGAGGATATGGCAACTGCAACGGGTTGTGGGGGAGGAGTAGGAGTTGGCGCTGGAGGGGTAACCTTTCTGTTTAAGGAGGGGTCGTAAGTCTGCATTTTCCTTCTAAACGGCAGTGATTTATTGTGTGAGGGTTTGGACCTTTTGCCGTGGAGTTTGGACCTTTTGCCGTAGGGTTTGGACCTTTTGCCGTAGAGAGGGGCAGTGATGAGAGACATCCGACGGGCAAGGAGAATAGCCGGGTCGTGATTGCAGTCGATTAGGTATTGGCTGATGTTCTCCGGTGGACCGTAATCTGGCACATTAAAGATGATTCCGCGTGAGATCTTCGCAGGATTTGCCATATATGTGGCCAGAAAATAGTTCTCTTCGCCCTTCAGAGGGGGTGCTGAGTAGTATAGTTTTGAATGGCATTGATTCGAATTTTATCATCGCGTGCCACGTTGTAATTGGTCTGGGCAGTGTTAAAGACGAAGTCTTGCAGCTTGCCTGTGCTCATCGAGCTTAGGTTGAGGCCACCACGTGCACGGATGATGATCTTGTAGTCGTCAGGGAGTCTTGCGAGCTGCGGCGGGCGCGTCTTGAAGCCAGGCCTTGGCGAGCTGCGGAAAACCGGACGCCAAACGCGCCTCGCCGCTCGACTTGGTCGTTTACGTCGCCATCCGTTGTTGACCCTTGCAAGTTTTTTAGCCCTATGTTTTGCAGAAAGGGAGCTACGCTTTGTAATTTTACAAAAACCAACCTGTGAAATATACCTTTGACACAAAGTTCAGATTGCTATGTGCAGGCGCCAATTTTTATGGCCCATTTTAGATCGAGCCTGGTTATTTCAGTCACCCTATACTTACTGCCAGGTTGGATCACATTGGCATCTTATTAGCCTTCCTTTTCTTCACTTGGCTTTTACTAGTATGCTTTCACAAAAGTAGGAGTGAGGTCCTCGGTCGACTTCGGCGCGAACCTTAGGATGAGAGAAAATGGCAAAATGGCCCGTTTCCCGCCTTTCATGTACTTTATGTACCCGTAGATCATTGTGAACACTACGAATTAGTTCTCTCAACCTCTAGGTGGTAGTGGAACGACTGGTTGGCAAGAAGCTATCGAAGGAACAAGCGAAAGTGAGAAACCAGAGCAACCAAGGCGAGCAATGCTGGCGACACGCACGGAGTGACAGCGGATTGGATCTCGGATTGGATTGAAAGTGTCAAAGACAGTTGGTTGTAAATTAGAACGGAGCAGTAACTTGTTACCAGTATAGGGTTGTTGCACAATACCATGGTTCAATGCTGCTACCTCTTCGTGGATCTGATGAAAACCCACTGGAATCCATGTTGGAGGCATTCATTGCTGTTATCCTATGTTTTGTGTCCTTTGGGGCCTTGTCTGCATGGTACTTTGTGCACCCACTCGAGGTTGAAGACAGTCAGTTGCTCTGTGATTGTTTTAGCCGTAAAACTTGGTGTCAACGGAGCCACGGCCAGCAATATTGGTTTTTCTAGAATTCCGGAAATCATTAGGAACCAGGACAAGGTAACGCTCGAGCAATCGGTTTGCCGACATTATGAATGGCTTCCAACGGACACGCCGGCACAACCTCAACCAGGCGGGTAAAGACAGGAGTAGAACACGGCAAGTCCTGGGCGCTAACATCTCCAGTCCCGAGAGAAAGAGCGAAAAAAGGCAGAGAAATAAAGCAAACAAAAAGTTAGGCGTGTTCGTTTTGCCGCGACAAGTTGAAGTTGCTCGAGCACTTGTCAGGTTTATTTAAATTTATCACTGCGCGACTCCTGTGTTCTTCTGCAAAGACAGAAAATAACAAGGTACAGACTTTACTGGTGATGTTTGGCTGCATCTTGGTGCATATAAAGGCTTCGGCAGCGATAGGGCTCATCGAAATCGCGAACTGGGACCGCCGATCTCCGCTTCTATGTTCCGCCATTTCGAAGCGGCCAAACGCAGGGGACCTTTCGTTTCGGATTATTATGTTAACTCTACAATCTTAAAAAAATAATTAAAAAAGGAATGGACGGGTGTTGACTGTACTCTTTTTGGAGAGAATCCGGGTTATCGCAAGCTATACTCTCTCTAGGGACCAGGGATATGAAAAATACATGCAAATGTGTATCAAAATACAAATACAAAAATTCTTCGTCAAAAATGTATTGAATTACGAGTCTAATTACATTTAAAAAAATTGCGGTGGCTTAGCTCGGCTATGCCAGGATATACGTAGCGTGAGCTTAGGCGCATAAAATGAGAGGTGCTATCAAGCAGCTCCGGTGCAGCGTCAGACTTGGCTACTGCGCAACGGAGGCACATAGCTGGGCACGCGGCGCCGCCAGTGCGTCTGCCGTGGCTGTGACGTCACTCCTCTGGAATGCGAAGACTGGCGAGGCGAGCGCGGTGGCGGCGGAGCCCGCGGCGACTTGGCCTCCGCCCCGCCAGCTGTGCGCCGTGCGACGTCACTGCTCCTCGCACTTGCGCAGCACGGAGCATGGCTCATTATGCCAGCCACGCGAAACTGCTCAATTTCGGCCAGTGTAGCTCACGCTACAAAAAGCATTTAAATACAACATACAAATACAACCAAATGTATTTGTTCTCTTCCAAATACTTTTCTAAATACATTCCTCAAAATTTGCGAGAGCGACTTCAGGGCACCTGCAACGGGTTTCTACGTATCTCTACGCACACTCTGGAGTAAGTTTGCGAGGCTCTAGTAACGTAATAGAAATATAATCACAAAAAATGTAATCAGCTTGGACGTAATAGGTGAAAAAGTACAGAGCCTCAAGCAGCTTTTTTTGTCGATTACATGTTGGTATAGACCAACAAAGAACTGAGACGACCAAGACACGGAGCACTAGCTAAAGAATTTTTTATTGTTGCAACTCGCACCAGTTAACGAAAATCTGGACGACACACGCATTTAGAATGTTCCAGGCAAAATTATGGATGGAAATCAGGCTGGAAAGCATCACAAGTTGTCACAGGCGCTTATTTAGCCAGTCTGCCTGTGAACGTCGATTTCATCACTATTCTTGCCCTGGACTAGCACCGTAATCACAAAGTCACTAAACGCTTGTGCTTGATTAAGAGACACTGCATTCGGTGCAGAACGTAGTTTTCTTTCTGCTCTGGACAGTGCCAATGAATTTGAGGGATGTATTTTCGCCCACAAAATTGTATTTAATTACAATTGTATTTGAAATACCCACCTTTTAGTATTTAAATACACACGTCAAATGCATTACCCAATTTGTAATTAAATAGAAATTCAAAATACACAAAGTATTTGAAATACATATTTCAATTACTTGTATTTGAAATACCGCCTATCCCTGCTAGGGATAGGTAATCGTTACCTTTCCACGACTAGTGTATGTTTTACTCTCCCATACGAGTGCTCACTTAACTTTTCTATAGTCACACAAATGGTTTTGCAAGAGTCAGGACTGTCTACAGGTTTTGAATTTCAGAGTTTGGTGCATTATTTTAAATGCCCTTTTTTGCTCCTAAATACAATTGTTTAAGCGACAACCAGTCTGTCGTATGTAAGAAAAAGTGTTGCCTGAACTCTGTACTAAAGAGTTAAGCACGCTCTCCAGGAAGAGTTATTGTAACCTTAGAAGTGGTGCCTGCACTCCGTATTAAAAAGTTTAGTGTGCTCTATAGCAAGAATTAATATTACATAACAGCAAACTTAGCAGTTTATATGATCCCTTCCTGGAGACTGCTTTACTCTTTCATACAGAGTTAGGCAACACTTGAAGTGGGGATTTAATTACTCGCACTAAAGAATTTTGTAGAGTAAGTACAACCCCATTTGGAAGTGTTGCCTAAACTCAGTATTAAACAGTTAAGCACACTTTCCAGGAAGGGTTCACACGAACTCTGCTCAAGTATAGTGTTATGTGCTGAGTGTAAAATCACCCAGTAAAAAGTAACGTAAATGCCTGCTAACAGAATTAGGGGAAGGGAAGTGTACAATTGGCTCCTTGTTAGTCAAACGTTTGCTGAAACAAAAAAAACTCTACTGGCAAGTGGCATTTTTAGCCTGTTGAAGTGCGACCACTGTACTTTTATTTTTGCAGCTGTTGTATCAAATTTCAATACCTCCCTTGATTTCTCTGTAATGTGGAATAGTACTTCTGTCCTTATTATGGGAGCTGCTACATACAACTTGAGACAACTCAAGCACTTTGCAATGAACAGTAGCCCTAAAATCTAAAAGCAGCTATGTATATGTTCACAAGGGGAGGGTTGCATTGGAAATGTGGAAGTGCAGCTGAAAAAGGACATAAAAGAGGGAGCATGAGCCTGTTCGGAGGCCATAGGTTTTCATGAAAAGTCAGCATAGAAAGGATAAAAAAAGTAGAATAGAGCTCAATAAGCCAACACTTTAATGTTAGGACATGGGAAAAAAAGGCAAAAATGGCACACATATTCCCTCTGGTGAACAAGTTTCTTACTTTGTGATGAGATCCAAAGCCAAGGCAGACTTTATATCGTACTTCAAATCAATGAAGTGCCCAATCCGTCCGTCACCTCAAATAAGTGGTTCTCCAACACCGCAGTTATGGCCTTTGAGTCCTCTTTGTCAATTCGCATCACCGGATAGGTCAATCTGTCGTGTCGGTCCTCCTGTGAAGAATGAATGCTTAAATGTAGACTCAGCAGTATGAGAAGGGAGGAAGCAACTCACTAAGTGTAGAAGGGTATGCACTTGGGCTAGTTGGTGATCCATATTTCCGAGGGAAAAAGCGCTAAAAACAATGAACAAGTAGAAGTGTTGTTGGTTTCTGTTACTTTTCCACTGTTTTTAGTCTTTTACCTTCGGATATATAGCTCGCTAAGTGCCCTTAGTTAATAGGAGTGCATTCATTTGTAAGACAAGAGACCATTTGCGAAAATCCCAGGAGCCATTCACAGGATACGTTCCAATAGTTGTCTGGTACTTGTTTTCTTGCCGATTAAACGAGAGTCCGAATCGAACACTTAGGCAGCACTCACTGCTGGCTCACTCAGCCGCAACTACCCACGACTGTTTGTATCCCCTCTGATATGAACATCTAAGAGAAAAATGAACCACATCTCTCTTTTTTTCCTTTGTATGCAGTGGCAGCCATAAGGGGTTGCATTTATTTATGGCAGGGAATCCCCAAGTTTGCATACCCTATTAGTGGCATCGGAAGAAGAGGGCAAGGCAAGGGGGGCAATTGCCTCGCCCTGCCGCTTCTCTCTGACTGACATTTTAAACTATTATAGCAGACAATATGGGAGACAGGGACGGGGTTTAGCTCCCTAGCACATCACCCCTCCACCTTCCAAGCAATACAAACTCAGCTGGCTCCTGCCCATAGCGATGAAAGTCATAGCTCTATATAGACTAGCCTTAGGGGTAGGATGAATGGAAGTTCTTAACTTGAAACTTGAGATCATGTCCGGTTTTCAGTTTTGAAGGCGTGAGGTCGCATCCATGGATAAGGACATAGGGGGGCTCCGAATGCGGCCGAAGCGCCACCGGCTTTCACACCCGAACTCCGACCAGGCAGCGTTAGCTTTATATGAACGGCGGGTGCTACGGCCGGGGACGCCCCGGGCACGTGACGGTTAGTCTCCCCTCTGGCTAGGTCAACGAAGGCCACCGCGTTCGTTGACCTAGCCGCGAACCCCCTCTCAGCAAGGCCCCCCGGACAGCCCGACGCGCACCACGTATGGCTACCTTGGGCCCGACTTCCTTCGTTCACCTAGACACCGGCGCGGCTGCGCCATCGCCCCCAACCCCATCCCGGTGTCCGGCCGACTATCCGCCGACCCTCTTGGTCCACACCGACATACGAAGGGACCAAGCACCCCGCTGGGCCAGGAGTGACAGGCACGAGGAGATCGGGGGGTATGATATTGCCCCCGATCCGCTTAAGGCAGGCCATGGCAGCTAGGGCCACCTCCTCAGCCGTCCGGGAATAGCCCATCGGAAACGCCTTTGAAAACTTCTCCTTCTGCTCTTCGGGAGAGCCAGCCAGGCGGCCTCACCGTCTTCGCCTCCTCGGAATCTGAGGCTCTCCGCCGGAGAGAGCGAGTTGTGATCTTTGGCGACAAGATCCCTGACATTGAACGACAAGGGCAGGATCGGGCAGCCCCCCTCCTGATGTTTCCCCGCCGTCTGCACCAGCCGGAGCAACGGGTCCCAAACGAATGGGGCCCGCGGCGGCGGCTTAGGGCTCCTCTCGACCGCGAGACTCCGACAGTCTCGCTATGACGTCGAGTCTGCTGTACCCACTCGGCCGGGAAGTCTGGTATGTCAACGGTGGGACCGTTGATACATTTAAACAAGTCGAAGGTCCCGACCACCTCAAGTTGATCTCCCTTCCACGTCACTGCCAGACCCCGCTGCGTGGCCACTGCCGACAAGGTCGCGCGAAGACCTTCCTTGGCCTCCCCAATGTCTGGCAGCGTCACGGACCCGCGTTTGCCAGCAAAGAAGTCGTCAACCGAGATATCGGCCAGGACTGGGTCTGGTAGATCCGGAAAGACACGACGCACTCTGTGAGTGCCAAAGGCACGAGTTATAGTGGTGGACAAGGCCATAGGGTTAATGAGGCTCGGGTCGGCAACCCAAGCCGCTCTGGCCTCCAGCAGGTCCCTGATGAGCGGGTCCTGCTCTGCCTCAAGTGCCTCGACACGCTTAGCAAACAGATCATCTTCCCATGATCCTTGCAGGTCTATGATGCCAGTCAGATTGTTGGTGCAAAGGGGAGTCAGTGGAAAGCGCCGAGTGCTAATACGCGTGGACTCTACCAGACGGTGCCGGAAAGCCCACATGACAGTAGCAAACGGGTCATCGTCAAGCCTGGCCGCATCTCGGCCCTCCACTGTTCTAAGTTCGACGGCATTCCCCTTTCCACGGAGAATGAGGCCATACTGCCTTTTGAGAAGAGATTTGAAAGAGAACATGGGAGTTCTTAAAAACTTATTCAATGTCCTCTCTCTGAGACTCAACCACGAACGGATAACAACAAAGCAGCCTCACGAGCAACAACTGTTCTGAACCGTAATTCGCGTAGATGTACGACGCTACCTCAAGTGCGTCCAGGATTTCTCTGGAACGTCCTTCTCCGACCCTTCTCCCACAGATCAGATGTCTTCGATATCGGAGGCCCCCAATTTTTAGATTGGGGCCTCCGACATCGGAGACATTCGGGGGATATCGGGGGGCATTCGTCCAATTGGTATACAATATGTTAGGAACGTTCTTAATATTTAATTAGTTTGAGCAACCTATTGTATTTCAATGCTGACTACCGTATATCATAGTTTATTTCACAACTTTAGAAGTTAGCAAATGCAGGTAACCTCTAAGTTTGGGGACACCATTGATTAAATATTGTAATTACAGCTCTACATGAAGCTAATTTACTATAAAGTACCATTAAACCTTAATAATATAAAAAAAAACTGTACCTACTGAAATTCACAAACTCAAAAAAAAAAAAGAAGCAAAATAAATATAACAGTAGCCCAACCAAGAACATACAGCTTCGATTGGTCAGTGTTAAAAAAATTGAAAAAAGTGCCACATTCCAAAACAAAGCACGCATCGTGGCGAGCCCAAGCTGTGCCATAACTGAAACTACTAGATAGCTAGTGAGCTGCTCACATGCACCACTCCATCATGCATGTGCACAATAGATGTGGGCTCTGAATTTCTGATTTGCATGTGGCATGGACTGGTTGCACCACTCTGAAGGCAGCTGTGGGCACGCGCATTATGTGCCAGAGCGCATCCTTCAGTATGTCCAGTAATGCTGAGGTGAAGTTTGCCCAATAAGTTGAGTTTCTACATGGCTTCATCTGTTGAAAACTGCTCTGCCAGCATTTTGTGATGCTTTGTGTGTGTTCATCAAATTGAAGATTATATATTTATGTCAGAACCGCTGGAGCCTCCTGCTAAACAGGCGTGTTAGTTTTATGAAGGCAACAAGGGCGGCAGTGGCTCCCCGCCCCTGTCTACTCCCCCATCGGAAAGCAAAGAAAGTTCTGTTGAGAGCTGGGGTCTTAAGAGATCGGCAGAAGTTCCATACCATAATTCCTCGACAAGACAAGTTGCGAAGTCCTTCAAGATCATGAGGGTTTTGATTAGCTCCATGGCAGGAGCTGCAAGAACAGCAGTTTCCCTTGTTTAGTGAGCAAAAATTATCTCCAGCAGTCACACTGTAATCAATAAATTGTTCATATGCAGTAAGGTTCAAGGTTCAAGGTGTTTAATGGCACAACTTCCACACAGCCGAGTGCCTGAGGCAGCCAAAAGGCAGAAGCCCATACAACCAAGTGCTGGCTGCTTCCTCTCTTTCTCCCCAGCTGGAACAAGTTTCTGCACTCTTGGCATTCCTAACTAAGGAGACAATCAGGTCTTTATATGACTTTGATATGGAAACTTGTCATCAGTGTAACATGGCGTGCAAAACGATGACACTTGAAGAGGAGCAGCCAGACGCTGAATCCTTGTATCCCTCACCATGGTCGCTGAGCAGGTGGCACCATGGTTACAACTGATCCTCGGCCACAGCAGTAACGGTATGACCTAGGACGGTACCCTGGACTAAAGGGTGTTCTGCTGCGGTTCGGATCCAGCTGTGCGGGAAATTGGCACCTTAGAGATTTCTTTTTCTAGGACAGGGTTTATGCATGTTGAAGCATGGCATCAGAAGTTGAGTTGTATCAAGAGCGTTGAGAGTAAGTGCTCGGAGAGCTTGTCCAGTTAACTTCTTGTCCCGGCATCTCAGCATGACTGTAATCTGCTTCAACATTAAAAATAAGTCTGTAGGTAAGTAGCTAAACATTCGGATGGTTACTAATCTGCTGCACCTCTTCTTTTTGTGGAGTGCATGACGACACTCAGCTTAAAAAGAGCTACTAGAATATGAAGATGCCATCAGTACAACGAGAATATGGTGAATGTAGGCATAACGGAATGGAAGTCCTTGTTACACCTGGTCCACAGATCACGGAAAGTTCGTCGGAGTGCTTTTCACTCTGAATGGCATGCACACGAACTCGCAAACCGAAAGGCATTGTTAGGCTCCTTTTGAATTACCAATGGCTTGTCTGGTATTGGTGCTAGGACTTACCAGATCGACCTTGGAAAATATGGCAAGCTATTGTTGAGCAGTGTAATGAAGGTGCTGATGCAAAAGAACTGTGTTTTTCTGTTTTGTAGCAGCTGTATATGGCAGAACTACATCGTACAGCGCATGAATTATGTGCAAAATTAGCTTTTTTAAGTTGATGAGTATAATCAGTGCGTAGAACGCACACATTCATACATGGATATGTTAGCAAAAATAAAAACTAATGTCTCGTTGCAAGGACTCACACAAAAAGCGGAATTTGTTGAGAACCACATGTAAACTGGTAAAATCACTGCAGTACACTAACAACAACAAAAAAGCTATTTTTATGTTGGCACACCACGCTTCCTCCGCATTAAATTGTGCATACGACCGCTGCTGGAAATTCTGAGGAAAGCAGTCTGAGTAGCCACAGTCGGCAGCGACCCCAGACATGCTCAACGGGGTGCGAACCGGACCTGGATTGGCCTCGACATCATTGTCGTCGCACCCGTTTCGCACCCAGGCGGAGCCTGGGGCGCTCAGCACGTACTGGGCCGTGGCGGGCAGCTGGGAGAAGAGGCCAATAACAGCTGTACGTGTTGAAGTCTTGGAGAAAACACAGACGGCAAGCGTCGACGAGTGGCTTAACCCTTTACTGCACAACTTTTTATTTTTTCACAATTTTATTCCAGCAGAAGTAGAATACCACAGTTATCACAATACTATCACTAAAAGAAATTTCGAAGTTTCGGAAAAATTTATATCGAAAAAAGATAGGTATGTTGCATATTTGCAACAAGATGGAAATAACGAAATATTTATAGCCGAATGCTAAAAATTTGTGAACCAGAGCCAAACTTGTATTTACAGACATCAGTGAGAGATGTGGCCTCATTTGCTTGTGTGATACAAAAGAAAGCAGTTATTCTTGCTTGTTGAGCACAGGTGAGTGCCACACTTAGAGCAGTAGCTCATACAAATGCCCTTGCATCCAGGAAACTTGCAACGCTGTCGCTTCTGACTCCAAAGCACCCAGTGGCCAACCTGAGCATAGAAGTATGAACAGTGAGGTTTGTAACACAGATTAATTCGCCAGTGATAATACCTGATCAATCCTGACATCTTGAGGTGGACACGGTGCTGAAGGACCTCTTGTCTTCTTCAGCTGGATGCCTTGCTCCATGGACTCATTGCTGGGCCTTCCCCTTTTCTTCAGTTGATTTTTTCCTGCTTTGCAGAGTGACGTGGCGAGGTCCACCTTGAACTCTGCTAATGGCATGAGCTTTCGTGTTGGTTGATCGGAAGTAGTCTCGGCACTCCTCCTGTACAGCAGCCAGGCATTTACAGCCGTCAAGTCGAGAATATGAAGAAAAATACGAAAGTACCATTTCTTCGATCGGAGATGGGCGCGGTAGAGGGAGATCAGAGAGTCTAAGAGATCCACTCCTCCCATGTGCTTGTTATAAGCGCCTATCACCGACGGACACGGTATGTCGCGCCTCTCCTTTTCTTTTTGGCTCCACCTTGGCGCAGTTAGGACAGGCTCTGCCCCAACAAAGGTGGACAGCAAGGTGACGGCTCTGTTGTCTTGCCACCTTGTACACGACAGCTGAATGCCATCCAGGGTCGCTACCTTCTCTTCAAAGCTTCCCCTTCCTTTCTGTTTCATTTCCTTGTCAGATGGCATGCTGATACCCGTTACTCGGTTGATCCAAACTGTACCAATGCAGTGCACGGTTTCTTTTTCCAGGTACACCTGAAGGGTTGGACAGTTGAAGTAGTTATCGAAATACACTTTGTGGTGGACTCCTCTTGGGATTAACCTGCACAATCGAACAACAATGTTCCCGCTTGCTCCACAGTCAGGCTCTCCTGCACGTCTTGGGGCAGAGTTTTCTTGTCCCGTGTACAGTTCTAGCTTGTACGAGAAGCCACTTACTCCTGAGAGAACAAATACTTTGTACCCCCATTTTTTTGGTTTCTGGGGACAGTACTGTTTCAGTGCACTTGCGCCTTTGAAAGGTATAATCTGTTCATGCACAGACAAGTGCTCTTCAAGCGGTATCAGCGACAACTGTTCATTTACAGCATCGACGAGCGGTCGTATCTTTGCAAGCCGGTCTCTATCAGGATCATCTCTTGGGCCGAGAGAGCTGTTGTCCACAAAGTGAAGGTTGTGCTTCAACTGTTCGAAGCGTGTCACCGTGAGGTGGTCAGCTACTTGGCTTACTCTGGTAGCTTCACTCCAGTACCACCTAGTGTTCTTCAGCTGAATTATAGACATCCACATGCAGGTGCCTAGAAAAACTTCAATCTCCTCGGCACTGGTGCAGAGGGGCTTACTGGCATCCTTCTGGACTGAGTACAAATTGCTCTCATTTGCAATAAGCGAAATAAGAGCGCCTGGAAAGATGAACTTGAAGTATTGGAAAGGTGTTTCCAACTCTGAAACTTCCTGCGGAAGCTCATTTTGTCCAGTGAACTTCACTGTTTCAGGATCCCGCATCAGGCTTGCATTCTTCCAGATAATTCTTCTCTTAGATTGAGTTGATGACTGATCAGCTGGTTGGCTTGCGGGAGCTTCCTCTTCGTCAGAGCTTGTACTCGCCTCGCTTGAACTGGCACTACATTTTGCAGGGGGTTGGACATCTGGGGTACAAAAAATAACAGCGTCTCGTACAACTCATACAATGAGCAGTAAAATAAATAATTTGGAGAGAAATTCTACATTGTATAGGGGACTATCTTCCCTGGCGGTTCTAAGTGTGCTCTTTGAAAGCGTGAAAACAACCCTACAACTTTGCAATTGTGTGTAGTTACACCTGACGAAGGATGGTCTCTTCCGAAAATCTCTGTCAATAAAGCCTACACTGCTTCTAATTTTATTCTCTACGTGAAAAAAAGTTGGATTTCCAGAAAAAAACATTAACTTACAATCAGAGTCATCGTCACTGCCGGAGAGCTCGCTGTCCTCACTGTCGGAAGGAATTCCACGGCTGTAAAACCGTTTGGGGTCCATTGTGTCTGCTCTACGAAGAAAAAACACCGTCGTGCACGTTGTTGCATCTGTGCAACATAGCTATTTTTTGCTTCCAAAGACAAACTTCGTCGATAATCTTAAGGTTTTTAGTATTTACATAATCAGCAGGACATTAAGTTGAGTCGCAAATTTTTTGTTTTGCATTACACTGAATAGAACGTGATATGCAGTAGTCAAGGCTTACCTGTGTCACTTGTTGAGCGTCCACGTGGTGGCTGTCACGCTTTTTAGAGAGCAGTTTCGCCGCCTGAGTACAGATGGCAGCACTGGACGGCTCGCCTCGCGGATGTATGTTGCAGAAATGCAACAACGTGCGGAACTAGCACTGAATGCATTTTGTAGATGTTTTTATCGTCGTTTATCGCTATGTTGCGAATATGCAACAAGGTGCAGTAAAGGGTTAAGGCTAGGTACTTCTAGCAGAGTGTGTTGGATAGACTGCAGCTCACGCAGGAAGAACTGTGTCTGTCCCTCGTCTATTTTCAGTGTTTTTATTCTCACTGTGTGAACTGTGGCCTAAGGCTGCAGCGTCACGTGGCGAGAGTAGCAAGGGGGCGTTGCCACTCGCAAGCTTGTGGATGTCTGTCAAAGGGCAGCGGGTAAAGATGTATTTAGGAAGTTGTTTGAGCTTGCCTGTCCATAGTCTCAATGCTCTCTTTAAAGCGGCGTAGGACTGACGGGATCATGCAAGCCTTCTTTTTCGGGCTCTTAGAAGGCCACCTCTCCTGAGACTCCACCTCACAAGCCTGAGCCTCGCGGCTCATCGCTTCGGGACAGGGGCCCGTTCGTCTGCAGCTCCGCAGGGTGCGCACTGGAACCCGATACCCGAGCAAGCTGCCTTTAATTTTCACCACTCCAGGCTTCTTGCGCATCTCGATGAACTCTGTTGACTTTGCGCTTGAGAGCGGCCTTTTCTTCGTTCACCTCACTACATCGCACAGTTCTTCAGATTCTGGAATTGTTGAATTAAGGTGCATTTGGTTATATGCACTTCGATCAACCAGTTACTTATAAAAAGAGGAATGCTAGGGGGGAGAATTTTCGGCATACCTGGCACGTTGACAGTCTGCGCGTGGTAGTAGCCCCCCTTGGTTGTTATGTTGCCGCTCCAGAAGACATTGTACAAAAAGTCTGGGTTGAAATCCCCGCACGTAACGGGGCGGAAGTCTTATATTTCTTCTAGGGACAACCGCTGTCGTCACGGTCTATCTTATATCCCACCAACGCAAATAATTCGCACATCACTAATCCAAGCTCTATGTATAAATGGTACCAAAGCTTCCATGGAAGCTCATAAGGCGCGAATATGGCGGCTCATTGGGTGCAGCGCCATTTGTGAGGTGTGCGGCATTGCCGCTAGTCATGCTGGCCTGCGACGTACGGGAAGTGACGCCTTATTAAAAACAAACAGAAAATGACGCAATTTCCTCTTGACTGCAACATCACGATTGCTCTTCGCTAGTGACACAAAATTTAAATGCCTTTCGCCAGTGACACGAAATTGAAATGCTTTTTTTATGTGTTCTACATGCCTGCGCAACTACTGTCCTTCATAACTTGCTTCATACAAAGTAAAGTGAATGGTACTTAAGCAGGCACATAGAATACGGAAGAAAAACAATTAGACACGTTGGCATTGCTACTTGTAGTGCATTAGACATTGGAATCTATCACTTCCATATAATCTCTTTAGCAAAAGAACCACTTTTTTCTGTTCTGTTCTGGGAACCACCAATAAGTTAATATATTTTTGAAATTATCCAGTGTGTTACAGCACGTCAATGAATGGATGCTTATTATTCAAAGTGTCGGAGGGTTAGGCGAGTGGCCAAGAGAAGGCGCCACCGCTTGGGAGACGGGGGGTGCCCGGAAAAAACAATAAACGCAAACTCGCCGGACAGTACTGACTCCCTGCCCAACCGGTACATGGTGGCATTTTCGTAGTTCTTGCCTTCGTCCTCAGTCAGCTTCAAAGAACAAAGAACGTCCTCCCCTTCGCGGCCCATGGCGTAAACGTGTTTACTTGCGTTTCTTGAGAGCGGAGACGCAACTCGGTGATTATCCTGTAGCGTTGCCATCTCGTGAACCACGTCTTCCACGTGTGCGGCTGGTGAAAGTCGAACTTTTCCAGCAGTTGTGTTGAAATCGGGTTGAAGTAGCTGCTTCCCGCTTGAACCGCTGCTTTTTGATCCGTCATGTTGGACCGGCGTTGTTGCGCAGTTAAGCGTGTCCGCTGCTCCCACTGCTGCTTCGGTTGTGCGTGCCGTGCCCGCTACTGTTGCTCTTATCGCTGACAAACTAAACCACTGAGAGACCTACTTCGTCATGATGCAGTCTGGTACTGGGGAGAGGCTCAGCAGCAAGCCTTCCAGCAGACCAAGGCAGCTCTCATCACAAACTCGGCATTGGCAATGTACAACCAAAGAGACCACTTGACACTCTTGGTCGATGCCTCATCCTATGGATTGGGTGCTGCGCTCCTCCAGGAGTCCCAAGGCGAGCGATGACCAGTTATGCATCCAAGGCACTAACGGAAACTGAGCAACGCTATGCCCAGATTGAGAAGGAGGCACTAGCCATCATGTGGGCTAGTGGCCATTTCCGCACACACTTCCTAGGGCTCCAATTTCATATTGACACTGACCACAAGCCCCTTGTGCCACTTCTCACCACGAAGCGTCTAGATGAACTCAGACCTCTTCTGCAACGTTTCCGCATGCGACTACTGGAGTATGGCTTAACGATCTCCCACATCCCGGTAAAGAAGATCCACCCGGCAGATGTGCTGTAACGCAAGCCACTTACTGGAGCAGGAGAAAAGGAAGCTGCCGACCTGGAGGAAGCCGTTCTGGAGTATGAAGTTCTCACAGTGGATCTGTTACCTGCGTCAACAACACGCTCTCACGGATCAAAGATGAGATCGGGAAGGATCCTGTCACGTCTGGAGTTCTGCTCTACGGGCTGGCCGAGCATGAGAGCTCTACCACCAGAACTGCGGCGATACTGCGAAATAGCAGGTGAACTCGAGGCTGCATTACTGTTTATTGGTCTGGGGGACAACTACAGCAAGTAATATTAAGCAATTATTTACATTGCAAAAACGCGCAGTTAGGTAAATTGATAATTTACCTTGGACTGAATCGACTTCCCCTAGCTTTATTAAACATGGAATATTAACGCCAGACAATCTTTTTTGCCTAAAGGTTGCAATTTTAGTTCATACTCAAATAAACACGAATCCCGCAATATTTTACGAAACATATTTATTTAAGCAAACAAATTACAATTTGAGACACCAGCAGTTTTCAAAACCTAAAATAAGAACTAATTACGGTACACAAAAAACATCCTACCAGATACCCGATCTTCTTAACAGAAATTATTGTGTATTCGAATTAGCCCAGACAATAGCGTCCGTGTTTCTTTTCAAAAAATACCTTACGGTATACTTCAATGTGCCTAGTGTGTATTCCTATTATAGTTCACATCAAAATAGATTGTACATTTTTGAGTGTCATATTTTTATCTTGTCAGATATTGTTTTATTTTTTATTTATGCTGTTTTTGATTCATTTCCTGTGCCCTGCTGCTGAGTGCTGTAACGGGGGTTGGGGACCTAGTCAGGTGATTCGTTTTCGCCTTTTGTCCCAACCTCCCTGACCTGACTGTCCCAACCTCTCTCGCCACGGTGCGAGCTTGAAACGGGCATCGTCCCATTAAGCCCATTTCCATGCTTTAAGCAGTAATATCGTCCAGTTATTTTAATGAATATTTGTCCCGGGTTTCAGCACCAATATTCTAAATATTCCACCGACAGTGTCTTATTCTCTGTATGTGGATGATGTGCAAATTTCAGTTTCTTCTTGCAACCTGTATAGTTGCGAACGTCAACTGCAACTGACAATCAACAGAATGAGCAAGTGGGCAGCCGAAAATGGGTTTCGTTTCCCCCCGACAAAACCCCGCAGGGGGCACCTGTGAAAGCAGGTGTTTGGAGAGTGGCGTCTCCACGGACCCCGAGCCATGCGGGTTCGCCCGCCCACGTCTGACTGTGCGTGGCTTACCCGTGTCTGGGGAAAAGCGCATCCTGGTGGTTGAGCCGAGCCCGGGGTAGGTTTGGACCCTTCGGGGCCCCCCGGGCGAGGCAATACACCACTTCGGCCCCCGCTTCTCATAGACGGGAGTCCTGGTAAGGCCCGGCCAGGATGATTCAGTCTAGTCGCCACTCCTTCTACTATCCCCTCCCTTCTTTCACCCTTGTCTCCTCCTTCTTTTCACTCTTCTCATTTCTCTTCTTTCCTTTTCAACTTCTTTGGCGGCAAGGGCTAACCTTGGGTGGTGACAGATACTCTCGTCCAGATCCACACTTGGTTATAGTTTCTGGGTAGCGCTAATAGAGTAATGCTTCCAGCAAAGCCATATTTGTTATGGGGTATTACCTATTCCCTCGTTGGGCTCCGTGGTGGGCGGCGCGCCACAGATTCCGAACACTCCTTGCCCTCTTATGGCGCCCCTCTCTTCCAAACCCCGTTCGGGGCAAGCCGTTAAAAGGCGCTGCCCTGAACACAAGACTATTGAAAAAGAACCAGAGGTAGAAAACTTCACGAAGTTTTTCGTTGTTCATTCCCTCGATGAACAGAAACCTGTGTCAAAGCTTTCACCATTTGTAGTAGCCAAAGTACTTGAACACCTTGTAGGGTTTTCCTACAAGGCTAAAAAACTCCACTCAGGAGACCTCCTAGTTGAGATAAATAACAAAAAGCAAAGTGAAGCGCTTCTCAAGCTGAACACCATACTTGATGTGAAAGTGTCGGTGAGCCCTCACCGCACACTGAACACCATCCGTGGAGTCCTCTCTGAGGACGACTTCCTTCACACTAGTGAGGAAGAACTCCTCGAGGGACTCCAAGGTGCCGGCGTTGTCGCAGTAAAACGGATTATGTTCAAAAAAGATGGTGTAGAAATTCCCTCAAAACACGTCATCCTTACATTTGAGAGGCATACACTACCACAAACAATCAAGGCTGGATACCTGAACTGCCACATCCGCCCTTTTGTCCCCAACCCCCAGCGGTGTTTCCGTTGCCAGCGTTTTGGTCACGGAACACGCAGCTGTC